TTTTCAAAACATAAGCGTAATAACTAAAATATGTGAAATTCTAATGCATATATCTTGCCAGGCATTGGCTAGTTTCGGTTCATTTTACTGTGGATACGGATTCCGGAAGTAACTATAGACTGCGAAGAAGGTCTGAATCATAGTGAGACCTAGAAGCAATAGAGCAGCACAAGAAGCTACCGAGGTCCACGGCGATCCGAAGAAGGTGTGGGCCAATTCTTTACAACGAACGCGGTACTCTTTTGAAGTTTGCTTGTTCACTCCTTCAAACACTTCAGCTAGATAACTCCTAGATATGTCAAAAGAAGCGTCTTTACCTATGTTCTTGAAGAACCGTGAGACTTGATGATCGGTCTCAAAATAATTCTCCATGATCCCCTTTTCCCTTAGAAACCTTGCGTCGGCCTCGTTGTTCATGAGGCAACCCATAAAAGCTACGTAGCTGGTTATGTGGTTTGGACAATGACCGTAGAACTGTTCAAAAGCAACAAAGTTGAGAAAGACTTGACCAATGAAGCCGTCCAAGACTAATGGTGGTATCTCAAGCACACCTCTCTTGAGTTTTATATCCAACCATGTGTCTGCTTCTACCCTCGGCTTAAGTACTATTCCCTTGTTTTGGAGCCTACTGGCCGAGGTAATTAATCGGAGGAAAGGATCTGGATCAGATCCCCACGTACCCTTTTGAGGTTTCTGTCTACGCCACCATGGAATAGACAGACTAATGTGATTTAAGGTTTTATCATTCTTATAAGGATAAGGGATGAAAGTTTGACGAATGAGATCAAGGAGATGTTTTGCTTCAATATCGTAGTTATTTGGCCGAGATGTTTCTGGTAATTGGGTTGAATAGCTAAAGAACTTGAAGACCATCTTGTTCAAACCACCACCAGCGCTTATTTTCGAGGTTACAACGAGAGTTTCGAGAAGAAAGAGAGGTACCTGATTTTCCAAGAGTAGAAGATCGCTATGAATGGTCGGGAGAACCCAGGGCATTTTAAAAATGGGATCATTTTTAACAGTGATGTCAACTTTCCTTGAGATGATGAAGAACAACATAAGAATGAAACAACCATCGAGAATCATCATATCGATAAGTTTCTTTCCATCGAACTCAACAAGATCCTCAGAATAACAACTCCTTATAGCTTCCTCCTTACTAGATACCGCCTCGGACAATTCTTCATAAGCCACACCGTTTTTTCCAGCTTCTTCAAGAAAAAGACCAAGAAATCGAGGCTTGTGCTCTTCAATCATCCGGAGTTGTTTTTTTCCATGATGGTAAGGTCCTATTGATAGGAGATCAGGGTCATAGGCTTCACCGTTGATTCGACGAAGGCGATGACTGATTCTGAAGATACAACAAGATTGGTTACCGGCTGATTCTTTTAGAAGCTTTGGCAAAACACGTTTTGAGAGTACCCTCGGATTCGCTTCAGTGTCCATGGTCCTCAGCTTGGATTATTTGCTGAATTATTCTTCAGAGATCTCTATCGAAAATATTTCCAACGCTCTAACTCTTCAAATTTAGTTTTGATATATTAATTGGTTTTCAAACCACAAGGAAGATGTTTTCGGTAGGAAAATAGAGAGATCAACTTGGGATATCTAGGAGGAGATTTCCAAATTGATGAGGTTTTTAATCAGACATAACGCAGCCTCATACTTTCCATAAAACATGTTTTTTTTTTGTCAACTAGAGCAAGATCAAAGGGCCCCCATCTTCATTGTTTTTCTTTTGGAAGTTGCAGTGTAGATTTAAATGTCACTCGTTTCAAGTTGCCGTAATTTATAAAATGTATTTTCATAGTTAAATATTGCTAGTATACTTAATTTCGGTATAGGCATGTCGATTTTTATGAATAACAATAATAAGCATAATTTACTATAAATAGAGGCTTTAGTTCTGAGTTTTAATCAAACTAGATAATTATCCGCGTTATAGGCGGAATAATATGATTAAAGAGTAAAATCAAGGGGCAATTGCAAAAATGTCACTTTTGGTGTGTACATTTGCAAAAATGCCACTTAGGGGTATCCATTTGCAAAGAATACTACT